TTAAATATTCATTGTGCTTGCCTTACCAACGACATCCATGATAACTTGATTACAACCAGTTTGCTAAAGGCACCCCTAATCACACCTTCTTTTTACTACAACAACAAATAAACAAATGAAATAATGACTATTATGTGCTTTTTAAACTAGTAAACCATGTGATCACTCCTGAAATATATTTTTGTTACTTCCAATATGTTTGCTCTGATAAATATTCCAAAAAAAATCATTGACATGGTATTGTTGAGCAGTTTCAAACTTTCAGTTCAAAATTTAAATGTGTGTGTGTGGCATATTATGTACTATTAAACCTCACTGCCATTCTCTTCAGGTTTAATTACCGCAATTGCAGTAACTGCTGGTTTTGGGTTACTGTTTTCACTTATGGGTGCTGCCAAAATCACTAATAAACTCAAGCAACGAAGGGCCAAAAAGTTGAGACAAAAATTCTTCAAGAAAAATCATGGATTGCTTCTACAACAGTTAATCTCTTCAAACAACGATATAGCCGAAAGAACAAGGATTTTTAGCTTGGAAGAACTGGAGCAAGCGACCAACAAATTTGACCATAATCGCATCCTTGGTGGCGGTGGGCATGGCACGGTGTACAAAGGCATCTTATCTGATCAACGTATTGTGGCCATCAAGAAGGCCAAAATTATTGTACAAAGGGAAATCGACCAGTTCATCAACGAGGTTGTCATACTTTCACAGACAAACCATAGGAATGTGGTGAAGCTTTTTGGTTGTTGCCTTGAGACAGAAGTTCCTCTACTTGTTTACGAATTCATATCAAATGGAGCTCTTTCATTTCATCTCCATGGCCAAAGTGAGAACCCATTATCATGGAAAGATAGGTTGAGGATTGCACTGGAAACTGCAAGGGCCATTGCATATCTACACTCCGCTGCTTCAATATCAGTATACCACAGAGATATCAAATGTGCAAATATACTACTTACCGATACCTTAACATCAAAAGTATCAGATTTTGGAGCTTCAAGGTCTATTGCAATAGATGAGACAGGAATACTTACAGTTGTCCAAGGAACCTATGGTTACCTTGATCCTGAATACTACTACACTAGTCGACTCACGGAGAAAAGCGATGTTTACAGCTTTGGTGTCATCCTAGCAGAGCTACTGACAAGGGTGACACCAGTTTTTTCTTCTCATTCATCAGAAGGGACAAGCCTAGCATCACATTTTGTATCACATATAAGAGACAATCGATTCTCAGACATTCTAGATGCACAAATTGTTGAGGAGGGAGGGGCTGAAGATGCTGAGGTGGTTGCAAGACTCGCAGAAGCATGCTTAAGTTTAAAAGGTGAAGAAAGGCCTACAATGAGACAAGTGGAGACAGTACTTGAAGATGTTCAGAACTCAAGAGTCAATCTTAGTTCTCAGATCACAAGAGTGAACCGAAATGCTATAAATGATCAACCATACAAGGGAAGTAAAGGCGGAGAAGAAACTAGACTGTACAGCCTGGAAAAAGAGTTCATAGAGTCGTCTGAAATTCCAAGATGATTTTACTTACATGGTGAAGTGTTACATTTGCTTTTATTAGATTGGGTGCCAATTTGGAACTCTGAATTATAACATGTATTTAGTGGTAACCCAGAGGTGAGCACAGGCTCATCCCAAAATTAGCAGAGTATTCAGAACACACCATTGCAGTCAACGGAAGGTAGAGGTGGTGCTAAGCGTGGCGTATGTTCCTGTGGCGTCCATCTCCGAGTGGAGGAGGCTCGTCTGACAGACAGCAGAACTGCCGTATGGGCCATAATCGGGCAGTAATCAACATTCAGTAAAACTAGGTTCCGTATAATTCTTGGTGGTAAGCTTCATCTAAAATTGGGTTCTGCTAGCATGTTCAGACATGCAGTTTGCGCATTGTGATTTTTATCTTTTGTAATGCAGACTTCTACGCTTGAAAACATTGAAGCCCGTTGCTCCAAAGACTTATTTTGATCATTATAAATGAAGTGCTCATGATTCAGATGGGGGTGGCAAAGTCCATATAGTAGTTATAGTTATTTGAAATACACTTGTGCCATGTGGCTTCAGAGTTTGGGCCTTTTGAGCTTAGAGTTGTAGTACGTACTGATTGTATTTGGAGAGTGTCCGTTCATTCTTTTGATCCGAAACATGTCCTGATTGACCAGGAATCAGTATACACATTCTTGGTCCCTTTTATGAAAGCAATATTCTTCAGGTGGATGAATGAAGCTGGCCTGAAAAAGGAGCAGATGCATTACGAGGCGCAGCTGCCAAGTGCCATGGCCTTGTACAGTTTGGTCGTTCCTCCATGAATGCCAGGTGCTCAATTACGATGCAGCGGCGCTCGGCAAGATGTAAGCATTCCCATTTTGTTGTCGAGAAGTAGGTCTGCATAGCCTCATCACGGCTGGCACTGCAGAAAAATCAGTGTGCCTTGCCTTCCATGTTTTGTTTGTTCAACATGCACGCACTTGTGCCTTTTTCAGTGCAATGTCTGAACCGACAACATAGGCACGCGATGCCTGTTCTGTTTGTTCTGTATGCACTTTCGCCTTTTTCAGTTAAAAACGTCTGAACTGCTACACAGGCGCACGTCGGCAGCTCGACGGTAACGCAACGGCAGCAGCCGGCCACGTTTCGCTCGGCGTGCCACTGTTTCTGGCTCGAGAAGGTAGTTCATTGTTTAGTACCTGTAATTTTTTTTAATTTTTTTTGCGGTGTAGTAATGATTTCTCATCTCGCTGTTTTGCGGCCAAACTTGCAGCTCCGTTGGACGAGTTTTTTTTCATTTTTTGAGGGAATCTCGTTGGATGTTTTTTTTTTTTGAGAATCAGAATCTCGTTGGATAAGTTTTTTTTTTGAGGATCATCTCGTTGGATAACAGTATCATAAAGTTGGCAAAAGCCCACTCATGAGTAAGCCCAGACATTCGAGCCCATTGCCCACGTCTGCCTCTCTCGTCGTCCAGGTCGTCCTGTCTCTTGCCAGATACTTCTCGAGCTCGAAGCCGCCGCCGCCGCCGCTGAATGCCTGAATCCCAATCCCTAATTCCTTGGGAGCTCGGACTGCTCCCGGCTCCACTCCGGAGCTGCCGCGCCCACCTTGCCAGCAACCTCCCGCACCTCCAGCGACTGGCGCCCCTGCAGTGCACCTTCTGCTCCAGCGCGGCAGCGCCTGGCAAGCTCTTTTCCACACCACACCGGCGTCAGTGGAGCTGCTACGCGAGGCACGGAGGCGTAGGCGAGAGGACTCGGAGGGTTTGCGTGGATTTCGTTCGGAGAGGTAGTCGGTTAACGCTGCTCCTGCTCGAGCAAGGTACTGAACACTGTAATTCTTGGCTGAGCTTGATGTGTTCTGTTCATCCGTAATCTGTAGAATTTATGCTTTATTTATGTTGAATGAATGAAAAATAAATGGACGCTTATTAATTTTTATTGTAATTGTAATTGGACACGAAGAAGAATGGGGCTGTCTCTTTTCCAGAAATATGAGTCTAAAAGCAAACATGATTGCATCTTTTCATTAGTTTTTCTTCGTCGGCCATAATTTGTAAAGAGAACATATAGCAGGTTTTTAGTCTTCACATATATCTAAGCATTGCAGCTTAGCTGGTAGAATCATGAACCCAACGTTTAATTTGGAAAAGTGCAGAGTATATATGCCAATTTTTAATTTGGAAAAGTTCAGAGTATATATGCCAATTTTTATTTTATTTGGAAAAGTGCAGGGTATATATGCCAATAACATGTAGGACAGGTGATCAATTACAATTTACAAACTTGCAGTGGAAGTCTTTTTCAGGATAGTAGTTCTCTGAGATAAATTTATCGTCAAAATTTATTTATCGTTCTCTGGGATAACCAGTTGAAAGGGGGTACTGAAAATATATGACATTTGAATGCAACTGTGACCCAGCAACTTTCACTCAGTATGATGTGTGAGGTTCTTTGTCAGCAATTAGGACTGTCCGATCTCCTCAATCCGCTGCACGACATCAGACATTGTAGGCCTCGAATCAGCATCTTGACTGCAACACTTTAGCCCGAGCTGCATAAGTCGCACCATGCACTCCTCTTTCCCGTCCTTCTGCCCCCGTGCTAGGAGCTCCACGTCGAATACCTCTGCCCTCCACTCCTCAGGTGTAATGGAACACACCCACCGTGGCAAATCTACTCCCCTGTCATCCTGAAATCTATTCCCCAGTGGAGACTTGCGGGTGAGAAGCTCCAGCAATAGGATGCCAAAGCTGTAGACGTCGGATTTCTGGGAGACCCATCTATTGTGGGTGACCTCAGGTGCACGGTAACCGGAGGCATTGGAATAAATTCCAAGTGTTATAAGGCCATGCTCCGACACACATGCGTCGTGGGTTCCAGTGAGCAGGATGTTGGAAGACTTGATGTTGCCATGGCAGCTCGATGGTCCAGCTAAATGGATAGCCTGCACACCGTGCGCGGCAGCTAGTGAGATAGCCAACCGCTGCTCCCAGTCCAGTGGAGCTGGGCCAGAACCTTGGTCGCCTAGATTCAAACATCATGAAATTAGTGATGCCTCAAAAACATTAGAAATTGTAAAGGCAAGCATATTATAGCATTGTGCGCTTTATATATTACCGTGGAGTGCTTTTGCTAGGCTACCCAAGGGGATGACATTATATACGAGCAGCTTCTCATCCTTGCTGCAGTAATACCACAGTAGTGGCGCTACGTGTTTGTTCTGAATGGTGCCAAACAGCATGACAAGCCGCCCAAAGATCGCCTCCCCCAAGTCCACATCTTTCAACCTCTTGACCACCAGCTCATATCCACTATCAAGTGTTGCTCTGTATGTTGTCCCGACTGTACCCTTGCCAAGAACTTCAGTCGATGCCCCAAGCAGGTCTTTCAGGTCGAACCATTGGCCTGTCATTGCCGACCAAACGATAGAAGTTCCCACATTTTGTATAATTAAATGTGATAGCGCTTTAGCTGGAGCCACAATTCTCATTTTTGGGGTACTGCCACTGCTTTCTTGTGAAGACATGCTTAAATGTGACAGCGGTTTGGCTGGAGCCACAATTCTCGTTTTGGGGGTACTGCCACTGCTTTCTTGTGATGGCGTCTTTTCAGTTCGAGCTACAGTTCTCCCGTTTTGGCTACTGCTGCTGCTTTCCAGAGATGGTATTTCGGCTAGAGCTAGTTTATTTTTCCTTCCCCAAGGAAACAGAGTTGGTTTTTCTTGTACCTGATGTGCAACCTTTCTAAGTTTGCGAAGACGTTCTGCAACTTCTAACATCTCAGGGCGTTTGTCGTGTTGCATCCTCAAGCATTTACCTGCCAACTTAGCAATCTCTTCGATAGTCTTCATGTCGCTCGATGTTGCAATTTCAGGATCAAACATCTCCCTCACCCTCCTAAACCCTTTTGAAAGAGACTGAATAAAACTTTCAACCAGGCCAATCTCCCCATCCTCTGTTCTTGCTTTTTTTCTAGTGATCAGTTCCAGGAGTACAACTCCAAAACTATAAACATCACTCTTCGCTGTGAGGCGACTATTTTGAGCAAACAGAGGGTCCATGTAGCCTATACTTCCTATCACATTTAGAGTATATAGAGTATTTTCAGTGTTGACTAGTCTTGATATTCCAAAGTCTGATATTTTTGCTCTGAGTTCATCATCCAGTAGTATATTAGCAGGCTTGATGTCACCATGAATGACCTGAGTATACATTTGTGAATGCATATAGCCCAACGCTTCTGCACATTCAATGGCAATTCTTAGCCGTGTATCCAAAGCGATGGGAGTAATATCCTGGTGAAGGATGTTACTCAGATTTCCTTTAGGAATATATTCCGTGATCACCATCAGGGCATCTTCATCAACACAGTAGCCAATTAATCTGACTACGTTCTTGTGATTGATCTCACGGTGGACGATCAACTCTTTGGCGAAATTTTCTTTTACATTGCAGATAAACCTCTTGATTGCAATCATAGTTTTGTCCTCGAGGACCCCTTCATAAACTTCACCGAAGGCACCTTTACCGATCACAGATTTATAGTTGTCGGTAAATCTTGTTATCTCATGTTCTGTAAAACATTTCACATCATGATTGCTCCGTGCAATCCATTTCAATCTATGCTCTTCTTGGATAAGTTGTGTTACCATATTTTCTGGATGATCAATCTTTGGAAGTAGCAGGGAACTTATTCAATGTTGGAAGAACATTTGACCTACAAAACAGTTTTGGTAGTGCGAAAAGTCAAATGAACCGGTAGGGATTTCAGATGCCCATTGGGCGACATGTATAGATGTGTTTATACTCTATTAGAGTTCATTTAGAAAAAAACATCTCCTCTAGCCGCCAAAGATAACCAATCTAGGAGAGAGTATAATCAATTTTTTTTTTCTGTTCTGGTGTGGATTTTGAATAACAGCTTCATCATGCGATATGGGTAATTCTGCAAAATTGCTTCCGTACAGGGAAAATGGAGCAATGCCTAGAACACTAAAAAACCAGGTTGGAAACGGCTAAACAAAGAAGTGAA